CGGGGGGGAGGGAGGGAGGGCAGGGAGCGGAGAGCCCAACAGGGGGTCGTGTGGGAGAGGGGGTCCCGTGAAGCCCCCATGCGGGCGGCGGGAACGGGAGGCCAGCGCAGGCCTGTGGCTTTGCCTTGAGGCCCGTCACCCCGCGGCGCTGTGGGGAGGAGTGGGTAGTGCCCTGGATGTGAGCGCGGCAGGGACGCTGAGCCTGCGGCCTGGGCTCGGTTTTGATGGGGTGACAGCTCGAGGGAGCCTGGTGAGAAGCAGGGAGCAGCCCGCATGGCGGGGTCTCGTCTAGAAGTCATTTTCCCATGAGAAGTGCTCCTGGAAGATGACGAGTGGTGTGTGGCAGCTGCAGAGATTAGCTTTAGGTTTCTCTTTTTTTTCACTCCGCACTAGGCTTTTAGGAAGGTAGTTTTCACCGGTGAATGGAAAGTGTTGCGTGTGCAGAATGTAAGTGTTGTGCTAGGGTTAAGGGTCGTCTGCTCCTCAGCAAGTTGATGCTTGGAAGCAGATGCCTGGCTGGGGAGAGCACTTTCGTTGGGGGGAAGGTGGAGATTGTCCCCTGCAGAATAGTTTCTTGGTAAATGAGGAGACAGCCTTACCGGCATCATGTGCTCTGAGTAGTAGTTGGCTTTCTAAGTGTTACAATTAAAGGCCCCATGTTGACAAAGTAGTATGATAGCTCACTTGGGCTTCCATGTGCCTGCACATGATGAAAACTATGTTGGTAGGGACATCTGAGAGGGTGATGAATACCAACATATCTGAGCTGGGCATGGAATAGTGTGTATCTGGCATGGCTGAAACACCACGCGGTCCTTTCTGGGCAGCCAAACGGAGGTATTGGCTGCAGGACTGACCTGGTGCTTATACACTAGTATACACTAGAACTGACTAGTATACAGTAGAATTGAATCTGTAGAAAATCAAGAAGTTTAGTGGTTCTGTCCTGCTTGAAAATATGGGCTAGCAATTATTTTTGTGGCCTTGTCTCTCAAAAGAGCTGAAGTGTAGATTGCTTCAGGGAGAGCTTGGCTGTAAGGCTCAGAGCATTGTTTTGAGTTTTACTTGCATTTTTCAAAAGACAATGTGTGACGGTAACATCTTCATTCTTAGAAGAAAAACTAATGGGTATTCATTTGTTTTCAGTTTAAGATGGCACCAACTACACTCTTCCCTCTTATGGCTCTGAAACAGGTAAGTGCTGCTTTTGAAATACGGAGTTTAAATTGAGAATTAATGTGTAGGTACACTTAGAGCAACTAGCCTGGAGAACTCTTGTAGCTCAGGAAATTATAGGACCAGTGTTTGTAATCCAGTAATTGCTTGTAGTGTCTCCTCAGGCAGTCCTCATTCTTCTACCAGGAAGAGTCAGGTCTGTCTTTGTACTGGAAAGTGGATGTGAGGCCCCTGTTGTTTCTGAACCACTAATCATGCTATAACCAGACTATGATAGTACTGTAGATGCCTTTTTTCCTTCATTACTGCTGTTTCACTATCCGTAACAATAGTTAGTTTGTTGTTTGGAGAAAAGTGCCTGATGAATGTTTCAAAAAGAACCTGTAACTATCAGGATTGATAACTAAACCGGAGCCTATGATGGTTTCAGTATAAGAGTAGTGGACAGAAGTGATTTCTGAAAACTCGGTGCTGAGGCTTTTTTCTGTGCTTAGTGTCACTGCCAGAGGTATTTCCCTTAGTTCTACAAGTGTCTGAAACTGTTGTATCTATTCCAGACCTGTCACCGAATATGGAGACTTGATGCTACTTCACAAGGTAAAAAATACTTCTAGAAAATTCAGCATAAAAAGTGCTTAGTGTTTGTCTAAACAGTATCTTTTGTTCTAATAACATCAGTAGGCAGACTTTATTCCCTGAGCCAAGTTTTCCCTCTGGTGCCACAATGATGACAGTTATTTGCTACTCTTGACCCAAGAGAATGATGAGCACTTTTACCACCATAACTTCCCTCTGAGGCACAACAACTTAGAATCCACCTTGATGTTTTGACTTCTGAATATACTGTTCATAAGCTTTTTTCTTCCAGGATTTGAATTGTACACTTGCAAGACTTGCAGAAGAAACATCACCTGGTGAGAATTGTGTAGTCTGTGTAGGGGTTTCTTCCATGGAGCTGCTGAAACACTGCTGTGGAAAGGGTGGGATGTGTAAAATGGGAGGTAATTACTTTGGGATTAATTTCCACTCATATGCAGAAACAATTGATCCTTGCTAGTATTCAAAAACTCTTGAATATTTCTTTGTGTTCTGTTTGGAGAACTTAAATTTTTCAAAGCTGTCAGAAGAGGCAATTGTTTGGTACTGTTATTCCAGAGCAGATACAGTGATGATGGCATAGTTCAGCAGAATATCATGTGAAGAAGAATTTTGTCTTTCGCTCCTATCTGATGTATCTAGCTCTTGTGATCTCTTGCTAGGAGGTGTAGGCTTGGCCATGAAGGCTAAGGGAATCTGATTTTTTTTTTCTTTTGTTGCAGGCACTGGGAGATGAAGCTATAAGCATGCAAGGTAAATACAGTTTTGCCTGCATCTGTAAAAACTAAGTTATATCCCTGATGTGTGAAAAGGCTGTGTGTGATGATAGCATAGTTCAGCAGATGACCCATGGTGATCACGCTGTTACTGTCTTTCGCTCCTATCTGATGCAGCCTCCTGTACCTTAGGCTAAGTTTGACAGACAATTCCTGTGGAAAGCTGAGGGTGAAACACTACTTTCTTTTGCTGCATGAATGTGTTTTGAAAATTTGTCTCAGAAGATTAGTAAATGGGCTAACCATTAAAAATTTAGTAGGATAGAGTAGGCTGTGCTTGTGAAATTAAGCACAAATACAGCAGAATAAATTTGCTATTTCAGTAACACAAAATCTTGGTCGATCTGGTGTTAGTGCTCCAAGTTCTGTAAGTGTTCTGTTGCTTTGCAGGCTGCCCTAGACAGAGGATACCTGTGCCTCCAGTGTGAGAAGCTATTTCCCCTGTTACTGATGCTGGTGAAGATGAGGCCTTCTTAATTGAAGGTAATTGAAAAACATTTTTTAGATGGATGCTGCATTTGAGCTTGGGAGTTTGGTTTTGGAGATAAGAGGGTCTGCAAATCCATTTTGTTTCTGGAGAATCTGAAGCAAAGATACTAGTACCCTAACTGTGCCTTCAGATCCCCTAAGCTTCGCAATAAAAGCATTAAGTAATTGTTTTGCATTGTCAAAGATTTCTAGAATGTGGCTGTTAAGACTAAATGCCTTGAATCATGAACATGGCAGTACTATGAATTTAGTATCTGCAATGCTTTTCCCAGTTTAGGCCAACTTACATGTTTACACAAAGTTCATGTCACTGAACTCTGCAATTTAGAGGTTTGCTCCTTTCTGCAATTCCAGCGGTCTCTGGAGTTAAGGAATTATGATCTCAGGGTGTTGGGGAGAGCGCTGGGAGATGGCTTTAGGGCCCTCTTGGGAAAGGGGATGGGAGAGTTGCAGTCTACTGCTGTAGATGATGTTGAATCAGGTCTCTGATCCCAATGAGGATAAAACTTGACTAAATGCTGATACAGTATTTCACTGAAACTATTCTTACACTAAAACTTCCTGCTAGACCCTATCTAATAGCAACTTTTCCTTTGCAGGCTTCCAATGTGTTTCTCATTGTGATGTAAGTACCAACTGTGCAAGTATTGGCATAAAAAAAAAGCCTAGAAATGAAGTATTTAACTGCATGTAAGCTGGGAGGGAGGTGCAAGGGGCCAATGTTGGCTCCTGCTTGCATCTTGTCCAAAAGAGAAGGATGCTTAAGGGGAGAACTGCTGGATGAGGCCCAGCCTTGACAGGCTGGTCTGCTAAACTCTTCACTGGGTGCCTGTGAGCTCCTGAAGTTGCTCTTATAGCACTATCTCTGTATTTGCCCTCTTGTCCATAGCAACCTTAGCCTAAAGCAGATAGCTGTCCAGTGACTGACAATGTGAGCTGCCTGTGTGATGAGATGTGACTACCTTGACTTCAATCATGGAGGTCTGCAATTAGCTCTATCTGACTTCAGGCACCTGACTAGATTTCATCCTTGTGTGCTTGCTTGTGCGCTGTCCTGATGCTTTGCTTTGTTCCAGGGCTGGTGCGGTGGAGCTGTGAAGTGATCCAGTTGGTGGTGCTACCAGCAAAAGTAAGTTGCCAGCAAATGCATATGACTAGTCAGAACTGTGTGATAGGTGATGGGGAAGTTACTAGATGCTGGCCTCTAATTGTGGTGTAGCTGCAGTGTTAAGAAGGTTCCTTGAGGATTTTCTTAGCTCTACCAATAGATCACAGGTTACCAGCAGCCTGCAGGGTTCACTTACCCAAGGTGCTAGGTACTGAATCTCATTCTTTGGTCACAAAGACAGTGATGAGATACAGTGATGATTGTAACAGTAATGGACAAAGGAGTTTCTGGAAGTCATAATGAGGCTCTAGAGTAACATCAGCATTGGACTGAAATTTCATTCTTATGTGTGTATCCTAGATCTGAGAATTTGAGAACTGCTGGATACTTTGTGACAGATGGTTCTTTCTTGGTAAGCTGCTTGCTTCTCAGTTGCCATAAGATTTTTTTAACTACTTGAAAATGTTAACTGCTTTCTGTAATGGAAAAGAAATAGTATGGACCAGTTGAACTATGTAACTGCTATGGACTACTTGAGTTTCTAGTTGATAAGAATGTGTGGTAACCTGGCAGTGCAGAGCTTGTGCTGACCAAAGCCAGTACAATTATTTACTATTTTAACTTTTTGCTGGTTAAATTAAGTAGTGGGCCTTTGCAGGGAGTAGCACTGATCTTCAGTAGTTGAAGTAATGTGATAAATTATTTGTCTCAATGGCTAGATCAGAGCTTTTATGTGATGTGAATGGAGATGTGGTGGGGGGTAAGGTCTGACATACTGAGGTCAGGTCCTCCTCTAAGGAGAAACAAAAGTAACAAAACATTAAGCTTCTCTAAGCATGTACTGTTTGTGATGATTAATTCTAAGCAATGGGAATCTCTCTGAAAGAGGCTGAGGAGGACTCTTGTGCTGAAACAGTACCCGCATTCAAACTAACTCTTGAAGCGCTGCCAAGGAGAGTGTGTTAATAAAATTTCATGTGTTACAGAATGAAGCTTGTGGGGAGTTTGTGTGAGGAACAAGACTAACTTACATCTGAGGTAAGTGTAGAGTACATGGGGTTTAATTACTGGATTATTGTCTTTGTGCTAAATGCCTAGGTAGTGGTGCCTAAAATTAGCCCTATAACAGATCTGATTTGTCTTCCTTTTATTGTATTCTGATTCTCCTGCTCTCAGCTACTGTGGGAATAAACATGATGTGCTTGAAGCAAGAATGCACTTCTATGTAGTTCTGAGTTTGACTTGAAAAGGACGGGCTCTTTCTGAGCAGATACCCTGACAATTCCTGAACTGTAGTCAGTGGTAAACTTTATGTAGAGTTCTGTTTGTATGAACAGAAGATGTGGCCTCAATGACTCTGAAAACTGGGGTTTTATTGCTGGATGTCTTCCCACGATGGAAATATAAAGCAGCTGAATCAGTGGAGACCGCTTGGCCAATACAGTGTTGATAATGTACAGCAGAATGCATGGCAGCAAACAAAACTCCTATCATAACTCATATATGATGTATCTGGCTATTTTGTGAACTGACACTATAACACTACACCCTTGAATTAAAAAAAAACACCAACAACCCTATATGCCGTGGTTGTCACTACTCAGGAATTTTTGTTAATCTTGGTTATGCTGGCTGTACATAAATTTAGGATCAAGTTCTAGATGATTGCTGTACAAACTTGTTTCCTCCAATAGACTGGTTCTCACTTTAAGGATAGGTTTTCAAGATGATTTCTATGGGACTTGCATTTTAGGTATTAAAACTCAATGAATACAACTTTCTGTTGGGGAGAGACAGTATCACAAAGCACGTGATAGCTTTGTACTTTTCCCTGATTCTTCCAATGTTAGTAATTCTGTATTTCCAATTCAGTTGGTATTTGTAAACTTTGTATATCCTATTTGGGTGTTGCAAGTTGAAGTTCTTGTCAGTTGCCAGCTGAAATGCAGCCTCCTTGTAGGTAAAATTAGTTTGGTGAATAAAATTTCATAGATAAATAAACTTGCATGTAGTGATGTCTGTTATTCTGAAACAACTTCTCTCTTCTCAGGAAAGGACTGTGCTGTCTGCAACCTCATTGGGTAAGAGCAGATGAATTCTGTTTAAAAACTTCTGGGAATATTTGTAGCCACTGATGAAACTTGATTCTGCCAAATGAATTACTGTGATATTACAATTTCCGTTCCACTTTTCTCTGAGGTTACAAAGCTGCTGTGGAGCTTTTAGCAGTTGTGCTACTGTGCATGTTAATTGTGTTTTCTTGCTTTTAGGTGAGGAGGCAACTTTGAAACTACTGTATGAAGAACTGAGAAGGTGAGTGTAACTGTAGTAATAATGAAATTTATTTGCTGGAACAAATGATGATAACCTTAGCCTGAACTCTCTCTCTGAACAGAGATGAAAATCTAAGGTCTGAGTTGTTCCCAGCAAGCTTCTTGTGCTGGTTTGGTGCCTTATAATGGTTCTTGTGTCTGTCTTAATAGGTGGAAGATTGCAGAATAATGGGTTACACTTGCATGAACAGCATTAAAAGAGCCAAGTTTTTTTAACAATACTGGTAATGTTTGCCTGATACTGATTGGAACCAATAAAAATTTGTAAACTCTACCTGTTGTTGTGAACTGCTTTCTGACTTGAACAGCTTGCTGTAAAACAGCTCTAGGCTACTTTAGAAAAGTTTCAGATGCTTGATTTAGAGCAGGGACTAAACTAGTTTAAATGCTAGTCCTGCAAGTGTCTTAACTTAGGTGTCAGGTATTGCTAGTGTGCAGACTGCAGTTGACCTGACCAATACCAAGATTTGGACAAAGCTAAATAATTGAAGTAGTAATTAGTGTTTTGTAGGTGAGAGCTAAACACTACTACTTGTGTATTTGCTCCTAAAATTACAGGCCACCAGTAAGTCTGGTATTAATGTTCAGGTACAGATGATGTGCACAGAATAAACATACAGCTTGACACTGTTAACCCTTTTCCACTGGACTCTTAGTCTAATCTGGTCACTGGCATTAGTCTGGAGCAAGACAGCATCCAGCCTCCATGAGGAGAAAAAACAGTTGAGTGGAGAGGTGGGGGATTTAGATAATACTATTTTTAAGAAAAAGTTACTGCTTATGAGGCACTAGGGCCTGCTAAGGTACTGCTGCTTCCCAAAACTCATTAATGGTAGGTTTCTTTGAAAAATTCATTTAACTTCCCCATCTTTCTGTTGTCTCGGGAGTGATCTCAATATGGGAAAAGTCAGCTCTATGGAGAACTCATTCTCCATAACACTTGAGCTATTGCTGTAGCACTTCTAATGAGAAGTAAAACTAGACATCCAAACTGTTCTGCAGGAATATTTTCAGATTATTAGTGTTCCCTAGAACCTTTCAATCTCCCTCCCACTCTAGAAGGTACAATCTACTTGAACTTAAATTACATCTTGTAGAAAGAGTTGAAATGTTTTTAGCCAGAATAGAAAATTAATTAGACATGATTCTGTGTCCATGTGCAAGTTAAATCTCTTCTGCACTAAAGCAAAAGCCATTAGTAAGGTCTGTTTTCATCCAGAGCTGATTAGTAGCCTCTTAATATTCCCCTCCCACCATATTACTTTTTAAAATACCATACTTCATTTTGCCTGTTAAAGAGCTTGAAGGGACTGTCATAGCCTGCAGTATAGAAGAAGTCTTCATGAAATGGTTGGCCTCTGTTTCTTAAGGTTCTGGCCAAGACTTCAGCTTCCTCAGCATATTTCTCTGGGGAGGCAAATCCGCCGAAGGATCTGGTAGAGGTGAAAAGGGAGGAGTTTTTGTTCAGAGTTCAAGCCCCTGCTTTTTATTTTCACAGGAGGAAACTTTAGGCTTGCAAAGCATGCAGTGTTTGAGCACTTCAGATGCAGTTATTAGGTAAAGTATGCAGAACTAGCTGTTGGGAGTGTATGGCTATGTATACTACTTTAAAAGGATTTAAAAAAAATAATTGCAAGTTGCTTGCAATTCTGAGAGCATTAGCTGACACAGATTGTTGCCTGTGGCTTTAATACATGGCAGAGAGGGCAAGTGTAGCTTTAGGTGCTTTTCCTGTAATAAAGAACTGCCAGTGCAGGTTTTGTGGGAGTTTGACTACAAATTGCAGTATAGAAGAAGTCTTCATGAAATGGTTGGCCTCTGTTTCTTAAGGTTCTGGCCAAGACTTCAGCTTCCTCAGCATATTTCTCTGGGGAGGCAAATCCGCCGAAGGATCTGGTAGAGGTGAAAAGGGAGGAGTTTTTGTTCAGAGTTCAAGCCCCTGCTTTTTATTTTCACAGGAGGAAACTTTAGGCTTGCAAAGCATGCAGTGTTTGAGCACTTCAGATGCAGTTATTAGGTAAAGTATGCAGAACTAGCTGTTGGGAGTGTATGGCTATGTATACTACTTTAAAAGGATTTAAAAAAAATAATTGCAAGTTGCTTGCAATTCTGAGAGCATTAGCTGACACAGATTGTTGCCTGTGGCTTTAATACATGGCAGAGAGGGCAAGTGTAGCTTTAGGTGCTTTTCCTGTAATAAAGAACTGCCAGTGCAGGTTTTGTGGGAGTTTGGGACTACAAATAAAGGGGGCTGGAAGAAATAAAGGGGGCTGGAAGAGTGACTTTAGGTGTTCTCTAGGAGGATCCTGTAGGCTGCATTTCTACAAAACCCACTCAGTGCAGTACTCAAGAGTACTGAAAAATCGTTTCAAAACTTGGTCATGTCTCTTTGTTCTTGGTAAGACACCCAAGCATAAGAAAGATTGTCTGACAGAAATTGAGCATTTGGAAATCAAGGTTCTGAATGGCAGGATATATCCACAGTTAAAAAAATCAGCTTTAAGAAACAAGTAGTCCAAACTCTTAATAGATGAACCCCTTTCAGTAGCTACCTTCATTCATCAGCTGTGCTGGTGCTGCTTACCGGACAAAGATGGCTGCTGCCTTCCGCTCTTCAATAAACACATCCAAGTCAGTGGGCTGTGGTGGAGAGTCTTGATGTTCAAACGGCACAAAGAAAGAGATCTTGAAGTCTGTGCAGCCAGATTTTATCAGGCATGTCACTGGCACAGTCATGTCAATTTTCATCTCTAGAGGAGAGGGGGGAAAAAAAAAGTGTGTCTTCTAAGCAGTGCCTGAATGCTGCTGTAAAGGGTCATGCAGGCTTATCCTAAAAGCAGAAACCAAAGCAGCCTCATGGGTATAATGGAGTCACAATGGTGCTGGACCAGGAAAGTAAAGCTGCTTTGTCTTGCAGCTCATCTACTGTCTTGTACTATTCAGCTTCATCTCCCATTTGTGCTTCTTGCAGTTCAAAACTAGCACATCGTACCTTTCTCATTCTTCCCTTGGATGTAGTGGAAGAGTTTCCAGAAGCCCTGGCGCATTGCCGCCTCCTGCGTCTCTCCCCTAATGACTGTGCTGACCCACTTTGCCGTCTCATACTGGCGCAGTTCATAATCCTTTGCCTGAAAGGTAGCAAAAGTCATAGTAACCATGAGATGAATACTACAGATGACATCAATTAACAGCTACTCTTTCCAAATCAGCATGAAAGTATTGTTGCAATCAGATAACACTGGGCAGCCTCTTAGATGCGGACTCAAGGCATACCCCCAACATCAAACGATTTGATGCCTCCCTTGCAAAGCCATGCAGTTCTGGCTTAGGCTGAGCTCCTCAGAGCTTATAAATAGGTGTTCCTCTTCCCCTTTGCAATTTGGTGTTAACAGTGACCATAGTAACACTTCCCAGCTCCTCCACGCTCATCAGACTGAGAATCCCAAATCCACCTTAGCTCTGCAGCACCCTGGCTGCAGAGAGTTCTGTTCCCCTGGCCTTTAGCGGTTACCATCATCTCTGCTGAGTTCCACCGAGGAGACTGCAGGTCCAGGGACAGAAACGTTTGCTTGAAGGATTTGATCATCTTGCCAGAGCTGAAAGGCAGACACAGTTCATTGGCCTCTCCCCAGTCAGTGCAGTGTACACGGGGAAGAAGAAAGCACTAGGGCTTTTCTGCCTAATGTCAAAGAGCTTTTCCTCAGCCTCTGGTCTCCAACCTTTCAGTAACGCTACACTGAGGAGTGACTGGAAAAGTTCAGGCAAGAGACTGGTGCTTTCTAAAAGGCAGTTGTCCCTGAAATTGTGAAAGGCCTGGATTCCACTGCTTATCCCCAATGATTCAACAACGAGGGCTGGAATCCTTTAAGCCCTGGAAGGAACCAACAGAGAACCAAGACCAAGAAGCTACCTCTAGGCTGGTGTGGGAGTGGTCATCTTCCAGGATAAGCTGCCTTCGCTTCTCCATGAAGTGAAGGCAGTTCCTGGCTGCAAAACAGAAGGTTGAGATTCTGTAAGTGGCAGTTGTGTGGAAATCCATAGGTAAAAAGGACTTGAGGAGTTCAGCCAATTTGCTCCTGGATGAAGGTATTGGTGTTGATGGGTACTCTGTTATTGACTGTGCCCATAACTTCATTGGGCCTCATGATAGCTGATGCCTTTCTTAAAGGCCTTTAGCCCCAGAGTCCTGTGGATAGATGAGATTTTCTGTATTTACGAGTATGTAGCTACTCTGCTAGGTAGCCTTCATATCGAAGGAAAAAGCTGAAAACATGAAAATGCTCAACTTCTTCTCACTGTCCCAAAATAAAGCAAGTGAAAATAATAAAAATCACTAGTGAAATAATCACATCTGGTTAAAAGTCTTGAGATTTTAGGAGCCGCCTTTTATGATTGGTGTCTATACCAGGCAGATTGTAGTGCATAACCTACATCCCAAGAAAGTCTCTGCTTTCTATTACATTACTATGTCCTTTGCACTTCACATTGCAAAGACAACACGTAGTTAATTCAGCAATTATCTTGATTCTTAGATCACAGTACATTGTCTTCTCAGAGTATAACTTAATTGCATGTTTCTTGGGTAACAGAACGAACCTTGAGGTTATTTTTCATTTCTCTGCCTCCTCAACTGTTTATAGCTGCCCACACAACAAGAAGCCCCTGCTCTGTCAATTTTGGCTCTACTTTTTTCATGGGCTTTTAGTATTAAAGGTGCACTGATGCAATTCAGAGCATGTCCCACCGCCAGTGGTAAAGTCTTTAAGGTATGCCATCTTTAACATGACATTTGTGAATGGCTATTTTTGTACCATGGCTACTTTTGTAAAATCAAGAACTGCCTTGTGCTACCTGACTACCTTCATATCTGTTTCCATTTTCTTAAGACATGCAGACTACTGTTGAATACTATTAATCCCCTTCTGTACCCTGGTTTAGAGGTGGCTACAAGGAGTTTTCTCTTTGGGATCTATGAGGTTGAAAAGCTTTTATCAAAAAAAAAAACAACCCACACCCAAAAACCCCTGCTGGCACTGGTTTCACTTACAATCCTTAAAATAAGTAGTGCACAGAGCACTCACGTGTTGAGCTTTTTCTAGCAGCTCCTTCAGTTGTCACCCTAGAGCAAGGGAAGATCAGAGAGCCACACAGCAAGAGACTGATGCCAGTGGTTAAAAGCAGGCACTGTCCCCCTCCCTGTCCCAGCCTGAAGATACATCTTCAGCAGTCTTTACCAGAATGACTGGTCACCAGGGACTGCTGCACAGTCCCAAGCTGGACAGTTGTACTCTAATACACTTTTTGTCAATAGTATTTACAAATCATCAAAGCATAACAATAAAGCAGGAATCCAATCATTTTATTGGAAGCAAGTGTGAGCAATTATACTGAAACTTGCTACAGTAATTTATTTTATCCATTGCCATTTCAAAGGCAAAGATGCTGCTTTGCTGTCACTTCACTTTCTATTTCTCCTTGCTACAACTTGATAGAAAACACGTTTCTCCTCTTCATGTGCTCCCTGGGTATGTTAGAAAGCAGAGAAGTAAATGTTCTTCCGTTTCAACACATGCTGTTGTAGTAGCTGCTGTACGAGCTGGCTTGTCTCTGTACTTGCCAATTCCAACCCCTCCCCGACACATTTTTTCTTAACTGCTGGTTAGATCTCTCACAGCTCTGTCTTCTATAACTTTGTGGCCAGTACTGTTGGTGACTGCATGTACAAAATATTTTTGAATTACATAAAACAATGCTTTTGGAGGGGGGAAGACAAACTGAGAAGAATCCTCCAAATATTTACAGTTGAATTAGTTTTCAGATCTACAGGAATGCTTAGCTTTGAGATTTCCATCTTTTCATATAAATATTGCTGTAGGGTGTCTAGGCTTTTTCTGCAGCTGTTAACACATGGGCCAAAGGGACAGAAAGCATAGCAGGCATCTTCACAGGTTACACTGATGCAGTGAGTAATTGTAGCCAGAACATGCCATTCCACAAGCTGCTAATTATATTAAGAAAGCAGAGAAAGTAGACATACTTACGTTTTAAGCTGTCCTTATCCTTCTAGCTATTGCAGTCTATCCTTCTCAGGCTGCACATACTCACAAGATGCTGCGTGTCAGTGTTTATTTTAGTTTCATCAAACTCCGCCCATACCTCAACCCTACTGGAGGGAGATGCCGTTATGAAAACCAGAAGGTTGTAGCCTTGTCCTCCTCTGGGTCTCATTGGAGAGCTCCCACACAAATGCCGAAAGTCCCACCTACTGCCCACCAGGCAACATTGGGTCCAGTGTGTGATCAGGCTCCATAAACAGTTTTGCATCCTTGTGTAACTTCCCCTGGTTTCCATGGCTTTGTGCCTACTTACGTCGGGGTCAGCAGCAGGTTTTTTTGCTCTCAGGAGAAAGAATTTCACATAAATAACGTTCCCCCCAGACTCAGATTACATGAGAGTGATGGTACAGAATGACAGCTTTTCCTTTTTACCCCTGGGGTAAAATGGTAGAAATCTGGCTGTAAACTAAGCTAAGACCATCCTCATGAGATTTCTGCTGGCATGTTATGAAAGACAGACAGTGTTCTATAATGGCTGTCTGTTTTGAGCAGTATTTGAGACTAATTGGCCCCCTTAGCCCTTGGATAGCTGCACAAAGGGGTTATACATAGCTATTGTGAAATTCTGTCCTGCTTACAATACACAAAGTGAAGCTGGACTCTTCATTTAACCAGCTGCAGCTCCAGACATATTTAGGTACCAGCACAATAGGGCAGATTAAACTTCACAGTTTGAGTTCTGAGAACACCTCCCGTGTTTGTTGTGGTTTGTGCAAATTCCTTGCAGCCAAATTCAGCTAAGCTCTCTGGGACATTTGAAATCAATAGCCGAGAATGACTTTTAACAGGAAACACACTTTGCTTGCAGAGAACTTCATCAGGATGCTGTGTGATACACTCCCATTCCGAAAGGGGGAATAAAAAACCCCCAAACCATGCCAAATAGCAATTGTAAACTTATCGCTAAAGCCACAAAGCACTCTAAAGCCACAGAAGTGGGGTGGTGTAAAGAGTGGTTTACTAATGGACCTTATTAGAACATGCTGAGGCCTGAAATACAGAACCAGTTCTCTGCGTGCTTTGTACTTTTATTGTACTGAGTAAACTTTCTCTCAATTTTACCTGCATTCTGCTTGGGTTAAACAGGCTGAGTAAACTTTCTCTCAATTTTACCTGCGTTCTGCTTGGGTTAAAATCAGCAGGACGTTTTGGAGAAGCAGAAGCTGCTACTTTGTGGTCTTTGCTCAGGAGCTACATGCATGCGAAGGCACCTGCTTGTGTAAGGTTAGCTGTTACATTACTCCGTAACCCTAACATTCCTGTCAAGTGTATACTAGTAATTACTTTCTCCAGAGTAGAGAAGGCCACGTAAAAAACTACACCCAGCCACAACAGTTTGGCAAATCTCAACAAATCTACCCCAATCACGAGCACAGAGAAGTATTGCCTTGAAAGCGGGGCAACTTGTAGAAAACACAAGCCCCCTGTGAATTCTCATTTTGTTTCTGAAGCAGAGAGACCCAGAACAAATCCCCAGTCAGTTTGTATGTGTCCAGCTGATGTTTCTGTCCCCGACAAAGAGCTAAGTGTTCCTGGTGGAGTAGCCCAAGGTTGGAGAACAATCATCAGTGTTCTCCCGAGAGGCTGTTTTCCAACACTCTTGTTTTTCACACATAAATTGAGAGAACATGTCAACAGTTGGAAGAGACAGTAGAGCAGGCATGAGGACATGTATACTGTATGTAACTATATACATACCCAAACCATATATAGTTAGGTATATGGTGGTATTATGATGGAAGCTGACACGCAGTCTCACTGGTACCTCCAAATAGGGGAAAACCTGAGTATGCTAACTCTGTACCCCTTGCCCTTTACACAGGAAAATAATGTGAAAGAACTGTTTTAGCGCCTTGAGGTCCCAGTAGTTTGCAGAACATGACAGGGAAGTTCAACAGTGTACGTATACTGCTAGTTTGCCTGGCTATCTCTACTGCATGGGGAAAAGCAAAAACAGGCAGTAATAAAGGATCATACTGCTTATATAAATACCAGCCTCTCCTTGTACACTATACCTCTAATGCAACAAGTTGCTGCCCACAGAGGAGCCCTAAATGTACTAATTAAACAGGCAGTAATTAAGTCTCAAAGGTAGCCTATGACACCTCTGTTTAATGTCATATATATACATCTGAGACTTGGCTGGTATTTTCTAGAATAGCTGTCAAAGCAATGTTTTTCTGTACTGTTGCCTTAAACTCAAGGAGTAGAGATGAGGGCGCAAGCACATAAAAGCATGCGGTTTGTAGCTTAACTTTACTATTTTCAGCAGGCACTTCTGCGCAGAACACCATAATGAACTCGTACTTAAGTAATGGCTTTTCAGGATAGCAGCTTCTATTGGGTAAGTGTAAGGACAAGCCTGTGATACGATCACTTGTGATTTCCATTTTTCCTCCCTATAGACCCTATCTATAGCAAGCTCAGACAAGACCTTAAGCAACATGCTATATAGCAAAAATGCTTACGTCTGCTCTGTGGCAACATTACAATAGCTGCTGTCAAATTCATGCAAGTGTGTTTTAAGTTGCCTTTATCCCTAGAGGCAAGCACAGACTGCTTGCAGAAAAGAGATGAATCTTTTCCACTGACCTAATTGTGTCAGGATTGGAGAAGCCCAGGAGAAAATGTTTTGTTACAGTATGGTTAATGATAACTTTGGGTCATGTTCTTGTAACTGACAAGTCTGTAGCATAATATGAAAAAATTGCACGCGAGGGACAGAGAGGGATGCATGTGTCTCCAGTCTGGCCGCTCACATGTTCTAACAAGTGGTCTCAACCCAAACGCTCCAGGCAGTTTTGCATTTCTGCCTAAGCCTGTCAGAGCATCAGTTAGCCTTGCATTTGATAGATTTTGATTTAAAAGAACTGAGACTCTTCATGTATAAATGACATTTGCTTTTGCAAACATGCACTTATCAGATGATGCAGAAGCCCTTACTTCACAACAAAGAAGTTGAGCATGTGATGTTACTGTAAATAATAGTCCAGGGCAGCAAAAATGTCTTTATATGTTGTTAGATGAACTGTGGTTTTCTGCAAATTCATCTCCCAAAAGAAGCCTCTTATCTCCCTGCTCTAAAGAAAGAGAAAGCCTTCTAGCAAATTCCATTTTATATCTCATTCTCACTTCCAGCAAGGAAAATGAAGAAGCGTAAGCGTACCATCTTCTAAAGAAGCAGCTGAATGTACCGTAGTACTGTTCCAAGGAGATTCTGTATTATCCTTTGAAAATTGCGGAAATGAAATCTCTGCCATTAGCACTAATGAGATGGTATTTAGACCTTATGCTCTAACCTATTTTATGTCAGCACACCAGTTTGTTATCATTGGCTTGGCCTTCAGCCAAAAATCATTTGCTTTCTGCAAATGCATATGTGGATTTTATCGATCTACTTTTTGCCTGATTCCAGCTAATTTGTTACAAATGACACATGAAACTATTGCATCTCCCTGCTACCTTGAACAGCTGGCTCAATGACAACAATTCTTAAAATCTGGCTGAGTGACTCCTTGCTCGCTTCAGAGATTGCATAGAACTGACTGCTCTTGACCAAATAAAAAGCTTCCTACATCCAACACCACTCCAGAGCACTCTTGACTTGGCGTTTTCCAGGATTTCTCTACCGAAGGTCACATTTTGGAATCATTCTAGGTTTGGAGAATTAATCCTAAATTAATCCTTCCTTCCAGCTGCCATGAAAAACCTTCCTAAACCTTCCTCTCTTCTGTCCATAGAGCCCAGAGAGAGACTGGAAGCTTTCTCAGCTTTATATACTGCTTTATTCACTTGGTTTCCTTCCAAAATAAGGGTTATTTTTAATATGGATCTGTTAAGGGATCTAGCTGTCATCTGAACCCCAGAAGCAATTGTCTCAGTAAACTTCTTTAGCCAGCATTAATACTTGACTAAATCCACAGAAAACCTGCAGTCCTCTCCAGGTGCTAGAAGGAGAGGAACTAAATTCAGCTTCCCCTGCAAATTCATCCACATTCTGCTATTGACAGATTCTTCTCAGAAAAAAGAACATGAAACAAGGTGAATTTTTATCTTCAAGATAAGAACATCTCATTCAGGGAAACAAGATTAAGGTCACATAGGTAACAGCATTTGCTAGAAAAAAGCCTTGACACAAATCTGTTGTATTGCTGTTTTTGCCTTTTTAAACGTTTTTTAACAATGACTTAAGCTATAGCCTAAGGTGAGAGACAACACACCTTCTTTGCAAATACAACTCCAAAGGGGAAGGAGCCAGGCATCAATCATCTGAGAACACTACTCAGAGTAGTGGCTCAAAAAACAACCTTAAGGAGAACAGGCATTTACTGATTGTTTCTTATCAATAGGAAAGTCCAATATTTGAAGTCACCAACAATCCACACCACAAATAATGACCTCAGGCAATATCGAGAAAGAAGTAGTTAGCAACCACAGTGGCAGCCCACAGCCTCTTATATTTCACCTGGTGGACAGGCTCTCCAGAAGAAGGTACGAGCTCAGTATCAGCTCCAGCATTTTTCTATCTATCTGTATCATCCAGCAGTCCCTCAGGCAGATACCTTCTGCCCTGTCTTTGTGGGCAGTAACGCAGTGGTTCTGCATTTCCTTTCTTTACTCTGCCTTCCTAGACTTTCAAGGTGATCTTTTCCTTTTCTTTTTCTTCACCTGCTGTGGTCCCCTCCTTCCTTCCCTCCCTCCCTCTCATTCTCAGCTTTCTCCAATCTGTATGCTGCGTGGAGTGAGACCACCTGGCAGCTCCTCTGCCCAGGGCCTGGGATAACCTCCTGACTCTGCTGAAGGCTTATTATGAGATGATGGGAACAGCTCCAGGGGTCTGAAAAAGACCCAGGTATGCAGAAATTGCCCTAAAGAGCTCAGGGTTTCCCTATGGAGTCCCAGGGACCTGAAAACATGTCCAGAGATGATGGAAATAGGCCCAGAGCATAAGGACTAGTATCTTAGAGAAATGTTAAAGAAAATGCTCTCCTAAAATAATATTTTCCACTTTCTCCAAAAAGACATGAAGAGATAACTGAAAAAATGGTGAGCTTCTTGCTAGGGGTGTCTCTATTGTGATAGCTCTTCAGCAATACGAACTGAGGACCGCTGTGGTACATACTGGGTGATGTGAAGCAGAATGAGCAATCCATTACCAAGCCCTTGCAAGCACATCGTGAATATATTTGTCAGC